ATAACTCTGTTGGTACTTTTACGCACATGGCTGTTTTTGCATAACGGGGTCCAATTATTGAATAGTCTTTATTATTTAAGATTGAAATAAGATAACCAACGTTTATATAAGCGAGGTTTGTGTCTATTTAAGCAGGTACCACTTAAAATCACTTTTTTGTGTAATGTTGTTAATATTGTCGACTAATCGAAGTCAGTGTATGTATTGTCAATTCAATTATATAAAACTAGCACTGCCCTTGGCTCCGCCCGCGTTCAGATGACCAAAAACCAAATTCTTAGGTTTTACATATTAGTATACTCTTGCATTGCAATTTTTGTATTTTTTGTTAGAAATGAGATATTTTCCTGCGGTAAAAAGTATCTTATATATACCCGGATAACCAGCTAACCATACCAAATTTCATCAAAATCCCTCCAGTGGTTTTTCTGTAATGCGGTAACAGACAGACAGACAAAAATTCTAAAAACTATAGATTCGGCCTCTGTATCGATAATAATGTATATTTCAATAAGATATTCCAAAAAAATATTTAATGTGCAGATTCGACTAAGTTACAATTTTATTATATGTATAGACTTAGATAAGGCACTATGAGAGAACGCAATAAAAAGGTGATTTTGATGTAAATCATAATATGAGAACATTTCTACTAATTTTAAGGACAGATCATTGATTTTATAGGATTTTTGGGCATGTCCTACTGTTCATTTTGTATGTCACAGTCATTCTTCGGAAACTATAAATATTGGCAATGACAATTATATACTATTTCCTAGATACTATGAAGCGATGTAGCTCAATTATATGTTGACCCGGATAGCTAGCCATACCCATCAAAATCCCTCCACTGGTTTTTCTGTGATGCGGTAAGAGACAGACAGACAAAAATCCTAAAAATTAGACATTCGTCCTCTGTATCGATAATACTGTATATTTTAATAAGATTTTCCCAAAAATATTTAATGTACAGATTCGGCTTAGTTACAATTTTATCATATATAGATATTATGTGTAGATAGATTTTGATTCGACCACAACAGGAAATACACAGATTTTATATGATCTTTCATATTTCTATATGACTGTTAGTTTATCATATCCTACTATGGGAAAATAAACATTTGACTCGTTTGTCTAACCTGTTGAGTTTCAATAATGTGAAATCATGCAAATTCTTAATAATTTATTATTTAACTAATATTGAACTATTTATGTTAAACAAGAGGCTCACCCTCGCTCGGGTTCGCTTATAGGAAAACAAAAATAAACCTATCCCACGGGAATCGTACATTTTTCCGGGATAAAAAGTAGCCTATGTGTTATTCCGGACTATAATCCATGTCTGTGCTAAATTTCATCATCATCAACAACAAACAATGAGTAACAAACATCTATACAGACAAACTTTCATATTTATAATATTAATACGGATGTTAGAAGAAACATAAACTACTAATATTACCATCTTCTAAATCGAGAAGTAATAAAGCTGCACTGCACTCTACAAGGACTCGGAATTTCTTTCATTTGCATCGCGGTAATATTCAATTTCCTAAAAGCAGTACTTCATTAGTTTTTCTTTGACGCGACCCGTATTCTGTATTGTTACCACGCTTTACGAAGCCTGCTTTTAACCTCGGGGTAATGTGACCCCTTTCGTTTTTGTTTAGCAATTTTTTGCGACCTTTTAGGGATGAAACTAGAACGATGGTTGGTTGGTTGACGCGTCAGAAAATATTTTTTGTTCCGTTTATCGGGATTTGTTTTTTGTTGGAATATAAGTATAAACCACAATTGTTGTAAGATTAACAATGGAAATAATATATTAATTCTTCAATGGCAATTGTTCTTTTGTTTCTTTTCTGTATTATATATTTTACGATTTTTGTATTGATAGTTATGTAAATAAAATAGGTGTTGTGTAATAAAATACACTAATAGAATTGTATACTCTGCTAATGAAGAAAAATACATATTGAATTATTTAAAAATCTCTAAAAAAGTTACTGCTAAGTTCAAAACTCTTATCGTAAAAGGTAATTATATTTATATCTAATATTATAAAAAGTTAAGTAAAGTCTGTAAGTCTATACGTATCCCTCTACTTGTCTATACATATTCTATACATATAATAAAGTTGTAGAGGTCGAATGTCTGTATATAGAAAAAAATGCTAAAAACCGAATCAGGGAGATGTAAGAAGAGAAATAGAACAAATCCAGATTTTTACAATTTTTTTGTTTCGCTGTCTGTTTGTCTGTTTGTACGAGCTAATCTCCAAAACTATTTGACCGATTTAAATGAAATTTTGTATGGTGGCACCTTATATCCCCGGTCAACATCTTAGATATTTTTATTCCGGAAAATGTACGGTTCCCGTGGGATAGATTTGTTTTTGTTTTTCTAGAGGCTAACCTGAGCGAAGCGAGTGTGAGCCGCTAGTTCTATATATAATCTCTGAACTACTTCTTTCACTAATAGGAAGCTACTTTACCGCCAAATGCTATAGGCTATTTTTATTACGATGGGATTATTGTTAAAATTAATTAACTTTAATTCGGAAGAAAAGTGGCAGTTGAATTGCATTATTGGCGTGCGCTGTCTAAAAAGTTTGTAATAAAGCTATAAAATGTATAACAAAAAGATCCCCAGGGACGCATTGAGTGAACTGAGTGTAAGTCGCTAGTCATTTATAAAAAATAAAAAGTTCCAAAAATGTAAAAAAATAAACTTATTTGTAAAACTATATTATTGACAAAAAATATTAAATTTTATAGTCGACGAGTTGGGGTAAATATTAACTAATAATTTTAACGAGATAAAGTTCACCTTATAAAATATAGACTTCTGTAGTTGCTTTAAAATGTACAAAACTTGAATTTTCTCTGCATACATACATATATTGATATGAGAAAATATGTTGGAAATTCCAGCTCTTTATAAGGCTTAGAAGGAATATGTGTATTCGTGCTTAAAAGCTTACAGGAGGTAAAATACCATAGCTTCCCATATACTCTTACGCATTTTTCTTATTTCCCGATGGGGCTGCCATATACTTTTAGAACTAGGAAAAACTATATCAATGTTTGAGTTCGACTTGTGAATATTAAATCAGATAGCGTGCGGGCGTGTCGGACGTAATTCATGCCCATTGTGTGCCGTTGTTTGCCCTTCAGACTCAATTCAATAAACTCTATAGACAAGTGAATGTTTATGAGATAATTTACCATTAAACTAATACATTAATAGGTTAATAGGTATGCTTAATTCTTTAGTAAATTTTAGCCTCAAAATTATACTTTTTGTAAAGTTAGATGATACAAGAAAAAGTAATAAAAAATTAAATTAGTAGTAATTTCTGTGCGTATTCTGTGTTTAAGTTTAGTGAGAAAAAATTTGCTTTTAACTGTGTCATTTACATAAATATTAAATTATTCGTTAAAATAAATTCGATAGAATACAAGAAATGGTAAAATTAATATATCAAATAATCATTTTGTTATAATTCTATATTTTCTTTCAGGATATACCTATGCGGATTTATTTCCGGATCAAACATATCTATCTACATAATATATACGCATTCAATAAATAACAACCATAAGTAATATACCCCATAGTTGATTTTATACGTTTCCTTTTCCGGATGAAATGTGAAGGCGGTAACAAATTGGGTAGTTTTATTTGGAGCCCGAGGACTGTTTTATTATACCTACTGCGTTTCATTTATGTAATACAGCTATATGAAATATTGATAGAACTTGTCATCAGTTTCTATTTGTATATTGTATATGGTATATAATAGTGGCCTCCAGACCATTTTCGGTTGCGGCTGCTAATTTAGCTGAGACTAGCCGTGTGAGATAGTATAGAGTACAAATGTATGAGCAAACATAACTCTGTCTCTATTCCTTTCACTATCAAACGCAGGTGGGACGACATCTCGATAGTACTGATAAGGAATCAGGTGCAACACACAATGGCTTTAACATATTTAACAAGCTTTCAGAGGCACGGGGGTGTAATACTGTCAACTTCTCAACTCCGGGCTATTACTGAGAGTTCCTTGATAGAAAATCCCTATAGCTATACTTTCCCTACCCGGTACTTGAGCCCAGGATCTGGGGGTCTGAAGCTGTACATCTCACATGTAAGCTTTAGGATCCGGATGTCCATTCACTAGGGACTAGACTAACGAGGTTGTTATGATATGGTATTATATGATAACAATGCCCTCCTGCCAGGGCGGCTGATTTCGGCCACAGCGGTCAATCTCACTCAGACTAGCCAACTGCGCAGGAGATATGATAGTGCACCTACTGAGTTTCCTGCTTGTATACATAGTGTAATATGTGGGGGAAGAAATAAATTCAAATACATACGTATCAAATAAATCCTTAGTTAAGTGCAGTTTTATAATTTTAAAGAAAGCTAGAGAACGGTTTCATTTATGGATTTTATTATCAGAATATCAGCATAAGCACTGCTATCGTGGTGTACGTTAACATAGCATGGTTATTTAGCAGATTTTCCACAAAAACTTTTTAACAAAAAATAAAAACCGACTTCCAGGCACGAAAATGTAAAAAATAACTAAACGGAGGTTTTCATTTAGAATAGATACCTAATCAGATATTTTCGAAGTCGGTGCCAGCCGATGCAAAGCAAATCTAATATATTTCGATACGTAAAATACATATTTACTTATTAGATATTCATATATTAAAATATTGTAGGCTAGCAAGTTTTTTAATAATATATTCGATTAAACAATTTATTTAAAAAAATATTTATTGTTGATTTAAAAAAAACCGCTTGCCCGATTTCGATAAAATTTATATAGGACTACCTGGGAAGTATACCCTTTGAAACAAAAAAAAATTCCAAATCGGTTCAGGCGTCTTCGAGTAATCGGTGAAAATACATAAAAAAAGATTCCAACGAATTGAAAACCTCCTCCTTTTTGAACTTGAAAGTCGGTTAAATAATTAAAGTACCTGGTATTGGCCTCTAGTGGAACAGGTGAGCGTAGTGCCCGTATCGTTGGTGAACTCAACGTGATGCGGTGGTTCTGTGATGGTTAAGGATTTACGAGGCTCTGGTGATGCTCGAACTGCTGTAGAAGAAAAAAAATAATGAAATCATTATGAATCAATCAATTTAGTTAGTGTAATGTGCCTTAAATATACTAACTTCTATAAACCAATCTTCCAAAATTATTATATTCTAAATAAATTTCTTCCCATATTTTAGTTATCTTATCCGTTAGGAAAAGTATTTTTGAAAATCGTACTATAGTGCTAAAATTGAGCCTTCCATTTAGAACTATTATTGCACATAATTTATTTATGCTTCTAGATACAGTGGTTTAGTCTGTGCGGAGTCTGTCACTCAATGTTAGAGTTTTATTAAGTAGATTTTCTGGCTTTTAGGCGTACTAATTGTATTACGCTTATGACGTTAGTTTTAGGTTGAATGAAGGTGGCATGATGAAGATTAGATTAGCAGTAGCTTTAAGGCTCTTAAGATTAAGTTATATGTAGTATAATTTACTGCTACTTAGTTACAAAATAGATATGGAATATCTAAAAAGTTATTCTGTTTCTGCTCATAGATTTACATTGAGACTTGTTCGTGTGCTTTATGTTAATGAATAAAATGAACAGGAGAAATGTTTCCTTGGAAAGTTACTACTAAACGAATACAAAATTTTAAGCGAATAATCTGAGGCGAAACTCAAATCCCCGACCTCTGTGTAGTCTACTGTGCTCATCTGACGTCATTATATTTTCACAAAGATGAAATAAAAATGTTTTCTATACATAATTTTGTTTTTAATCTGTAGTGGCAGGAATAGTTCTTTTTTTAACACGATATGAATAGTATTAAATATTAAAATGTAACCATTTTCTCACTGGTAAAGTAAACTGTCTTATAATTTCTTTTCTGTCCTAATAAAGCAATTACTTTTTACCACCGAAGTCTTCTTCAGAATAACAAATAAAATCAGTTTTAACACGCGAAACTTGTATCTATCAGAAAAACAGGTCAAGGCATCGGTTAACTTACTTGATAGTTATCTAAGTCCCGCGGGAGACGTTAGCGGAAGGGACCGAGTCTAATAGCACTTACAACACCTGGTAGTAAGCGCGGTATTATAGAAAATGCTTTACAAATCGGTTTACACTTTTTTGTTCATTTCCTTTTTGCACTTTTAGAATTAAACTTTAAGGTACTTTATTGAGGCGTTGAAATAGAATACGTATTCAATTTTTGGTTCTTGCTTTAAAATAAGTTTAAATAATGTTTTCTAGTAGGGAAGTTATGTAATAAAACTTATTTAAACTATGGACACTTCTCTTCATCAACATTTTATGACAGATTTGATAAATACTTTAAAACTTGTACAGAATTACAGTTATACTATTACATTATAAAATAAGTAAATAGATAAATTGTAGTCAATAAGCAGGTCAAACCTTTTAGTTAACCCACTTCATACTTATCTAAGCCCCGTGGGAGACATTAGCCAAAGGGATCGGGTCTAATAGCACTTTCGAACACACCGTTACCTGTGTCGAACTGCGAAATGTTTTACAAATTCGTTTATGCCCTAGATGAAGATCCAATCTATTAAAGACCGGTATTTTTATTACAATATCAAAATTGAATTTAAAAGAAATTTAAGATCATTTTTCCTTAAAGGCAAGATTTTGACCCCTCGAGTGTAAAAGAGAAAGGAAGGGAAAGTAAGAGAATTTAGTATATATATATAGATCGTATAACGATTAGCGCGCTAGAGGCTTCCTGAATACCCCACAAGTGATATATAGTGTGAATGTTTATTTGAATCTTTTGAAGAAAGTAAATAATACTGTAGAATGGGCTGATGTGCGATTTAATGTTAAACTAATTGCAGAGCTTATAGTTAAGTTTGTATATTATGTATACGAAAAGATAGATATCAGAATTTGACTTAATTGATACAAATATAAGTATTTAGGTAAAGAAAAAATTGTTAGAGAAAGTAATGAGCGTATACATTAATAACATTTTAATAGTATTATAGTTAATAGTACAATACATATATTTTTAAATAAGAAAAAGTATACTCCTAATAAATTATTCAAATATAAATGTAAGGTAAATAAATTTAAACGCATTTAATTTTGCTTAAGAAATTTATTTTGGTCGTAGATACCTACTCTTGTTAAAAATAAAGACGTATTGAAAAGGCCCGAGAATATAGCAATCACAACCAAACAGATTGTAAATTACATCGATAACATCAGACAGACAGGTATCTGAGAGGCGTATCTATAGTATTCTATAGATTTACCGCAAGCCGCAGCTTTCGATTTCCGTTTAATTTTGCGACAACCGCTACCTACCTTCTATATAGGATAAAGTCTAATATACTACATAAAATAGTAAAGATTTGTATACGATTCTTTTCTAACATTTTCTATGATATCTTTCATGAAGTTTGCTCTACCATATAAGACAATATATTATTAAAATATATTTTATCTATACTTAGATTAAACCACCAAAATATATTTTATTGGTTTAATCTAAGTATAGATTAATAATAATCATAAAAATTATAATAATTATGAATTCGGAGCACAGTTTGCAGCCACCTGTTAATTATTGATGTCATCAGGATCCAACTTCTAAAAGGAAAAATATAGATGCGTGAATTCGTTTACGAAGTGTCTCGTAATGATAAAATTGGGGCACGTCTCTCTCATGGTCTACCATTGATTGATACCGTCTATCTGATCTTCCGTCCAAGGTACCACGCCAATTTGAAGGGACCAATCGGAGGTAAGTCAGATAATTTTATATACCTAAATCTAAATTAGATATGCTGGTCGTCGCACCTTGGGTTCTTTGGTTTCGCGATAAACAATAGCATTTCCAAGGAGGGTTGATGTAGGCAGGCGGGCGGTCGTAAAACTTTTGCCAAATCCTATCAGCGGAAGATCTGGAAGATATAGAACAGAAAATGTACTGTGCCGACACCAAGTAATTGGGAAATGGGCAGGGAGATGATGAATCGGAAGTGAGTCATAATCTTCTAAATGTTCAATGACTATTGGGAAGAATGGTCTATATAGTCTGGCTGGTATTTTTAGTCTTTCTGTGTTCCATTCTATTCCTTTTTCGCCATATGTATACCTTGAATATAAATACCTTGCATTTTTTAAGAGATAAATCTCAGCCGATGTATCACAGACAGTCTCTAAAAGAGTCTACGCGTTGAACCTGTGTTCCCACGCAAGTTTTCAAGGGGCTGATTTTATCCCAGAAAGGAGATAATTAATTTGTGTTTTATTTTGTACGAACCCGAAGCGCTTCGGGTTCGTCCTTAGACAAAAACAGGTGTATCCCACGGGAACCATACATTTTCCGGGTTAAAAAATAACATATGTATTGTTCCAGACCATAATCTATTTTTGTGCCAAATTTCATCCAGATTCGCTCAGCCATTCTGACGTGAAAAAATAACAAAACATCCATCCACCCAGCCTCACAAACTTTTACATTTATAATATTAGCATGGATATGGATAATGTGCATAGAGTATTTTAGCTTGAAAAGTATTTTTCATTATTTGAATATGTCAAATTTTTCATATAAATCACTTACTAGTGCCAAGTCAACATATTCTAGCAATGCTAGTTAATTTAATGCTTATAATATATTATGTGAGCGAGTCACTTGACTTGCAGATACATAATATAGAGTTTCAAATGTCTCAGTATTAATTGTGTTATAATAGATTGTGACAGTAAAGTGAAAGCCCGGAGCGCGGCTGACATTTACAAGACGTTTCATCCTATCTCCCTATTTCTGATTTGCGTTTAGGACTACGTGGTATATTTTCTTCGAAAAATAAGTAACACGTTATGAGAAGCTTACATGAGTTTGAAATATAAGTTAATTTATGCTTTCTGATGGTATACGTTTTGAAATTAAATATTGCTTAACCGGAGTAGGATTTGATTTTTATTTTTATGATTTTTAGCCGACTTCCAAACGAGGAGGTTCTCAATTCGTCGGATTTTTTTTTGTATGTATGTTCACCGATTACTCGAAGACGCCTGAATCGGTTTGGAATTTTTTTGTTTTGTTTGAAAGGGTATACTTTTTAGGTGGTCCCATATAAATTTTATCGAAATCGGTCGAGCGGTTTTTTAAAAAATCAACAATAAATATATTTTTTAAGCAAATTGTTTAATCGAATATGTTATAACAACTTCCTACAATTTACCGGCTTATTACGTCTACACTAAAAATATAAAAATAAAAACATTAAAAAAAAACCGACTTCCAGGCACTAAAATGTAAAAAATAACTAAACGGGGATTTTCATCTATATATATAAAAGAAAGTCGTGTTAGTTACTTCGCTTATAACTCAAGAACGGCTGAACCGATTTAGCTGAAAATTGGCAGGGAGGTAGTTTAGAGCCAGGAGAAGGACATAGGATACTTTTTATCCCGTTCGACCGCGTTCCAATTTTTATGATATTTTAATTTTTGGATTTCTCTTAGTCCGGAATAGGTAAGTATTAAAACATATAATTAAAATGTGAGAAAGAAAGATTTTTTTTTTTTATATCTATTTAAAACGTACCTAGCGACGAACCCGAGCGAAGCGAGGGTGAGCCGCTAGTTTAGAATAGATGATACCTAATCAGATATTTTCGAAGTCGGTGCCAGCGCACAATATTTTAAGATATGAATATCTAATAGGTAAATATGTATTTTACGTATCGAAATATATTAGATTTGGTTTCCATCGGCTGGCACCGACTTCGAAAATATCTGATTAGGTATCTATTCTAAATGAAAACCCCCGCTAATTATTTTTAACATTTTAGTGCCTGGAAGTCGGTTTTATTTATTTTTTAAAGTTTTTATGCAATTATTAGTCTCTGTAGTAATTTTTGTCCAGTAAATTAAACCAAACACAAAAGAAAGACTACTGTAAATATGGGGCATAATGTAATTTGTATTATATGAAATATCAGACATTTAAGATAACCAAAATATATTACTAAAAGCTTAAAACAATTTGTCCGTGATTTGTGTATCCAAATTAATGTCTTTTGAAGTAATAAATAACTGTTGATATAACATGAACGGGAGGTATGAAGAGTTTATTATGACGATGAATACAGTGATTTCAACTATAATTAGCAGAATTCTCATATTGAAAGCCAAATTAAAGTATATGGTTTGAACTGTTTATTTACTTGTAATTTTATACTCTTGGTTGATATATTATATGTTTTGTACGTAAAACGTTAAAATATTTAAAAATATATTATTAATATGAATAAGATAATTTAATTAATTTATAAGAGCTACATTAAGTATAAAACAACAATTTCACTTACAAAATTACAACGCAGCCTTGTTAGTTTTAGAAATCATAGCAATCAAATTGTATCTTATAAGATATCATATCAGAATGAATTTTAGAAAAGATCTCAATGGAGCTTGCAAAAGACCCTTGTCGATCGATATCGATTATTATGTAGGTATAGCAATAAAAAGAAAACAAAGTTAGGAAGCTGCCTAGACAGCGTTGCCAATATCAATTAAGCGGTCGAAAATATCCGGATTCTGATAGAGTCCATGTATAAATAAAAAAATAATAAATATAAGATTGTAATATAGCTTTGTTATTTTATAATTCTGTAAAAATATTTATTTGCACTGTCTAGAGTTAAAAATAGCTTTTCCTACATTTTATTTTTAAAGGTTCCTTAGCCAAAAACCTTAAACAGAATCCCAATAGATTCATTATATCTCATTTGAATCACTGGATAATTATGCAGTCAAATTACATAAAAAAAAACGTTCAAACCAATAGTTGCAAACTTAATATATACGTACATATATAACCAAACATTCATACATATGTTCATACAAACAAACACACATACATGCACACATACACACATACATACATACATACATACATACGTAATACATACAGTACACATATACAAATAGAATAAATAAGGGTTTTTTTTTAAATGTTAATTGAGTTGAAGCTTTATCTAAATATTTGCCCATACTGTAATAAGCGAGTGGACATGCGTGCGAGGAATACTATCCTACCGTCATACAGTTACATCCTACGTCATACAGCTAGTACGAAGGTTAGTGTTTAATTAAACATTGTTAGCTTGACTTTTAAATACTTGTTTATAAAGTGCTGTTTATTGTACAATAAGCTGTTGATATATATAAATAAATGAATGAATGAATGAATGAATCAATGAATGAATGAATCAATGAATGAATGAATGAATGAATGAATGAATGAATGAATGAATGAATAAATAAATAAATAAATAAATAAATTCTTCTAAAGTCTTAATCGTTGTACCGCATACACACACTTTTTGAGGTATGGGATATTTCTAAAAAATTAGCTTTGTTTTTCATAGAAAAGCTATAAAATCTAAAATTTCACTAAGTGAAACTTTATAAATGAACTTATATACTATGGGTATAATTTTAAATTACTTTTAATATAACAAATTACGTATGTACGTATGTACAACGACATTAATGTATCAATCTACGATCACCAGTCTTGTCATACAACGAATAATTATCTAGATTTCTTGATTAAAGCAACAAGCTACTTAAGTATATTAATATACGACTTAGCTATTAAAGGAAATCTTAATCATTCATGTTTTAAGCATCATATTGTTATTAGCGGGGACTATGGCGACCGCGAACAGAGGGTAACTACGAGTAGGATATTTTAATGCAATATGATCAGTATGCCTTTAGAGTTACGAGCTATTTAAGTATATGTAAGGTTGACTGTACAAAGGCTGTGGTAGAGGCTCCAATCTCTCAGAACACTGATTGCCTCCATTCAAGCCCCTGTTGCAACGTTAAGCGCCATTAATGTCTGTATTTTTAACAAAGTTTTTAAATTTCAAATTTCCCCGGCGATCCCAACAAATTTTGCATATTTAATTTGAAAAAACTTTGCAGGTTGACTTTTACTTCTACATATTTAATATTCATTTGTTTTAGGGTATTCTAATTGAAAATTAATTAGGCAAGTGAAAATGTTGCTGTCCATTTAAAATATTTTAGGTTGAAAGAAGAAAAAATACAAAGTAGAAAAACCTATGTCACCCTCAGTATATTTGTTGAACAACAACTGGTACACATTTTACACAGAGACTTAGCCGCAACTTCCCCAGTTATTACACTTAGCAGTAAATCATACATACAATTGTTATACGCAAGATACTACAGCATCCGTTTACTACTTCATAAATATTTAGAACATTACAATAATCTCGTTCTCTATATTTCTATTTGATTAATTCCTTAAATATTTCTGATACAAAAATAATACTGTTTATTAATAATTAGCGACTCGCCCTCGCTTCGCTTAGGTTCGTCCCTACTTTGAATCCCCATACAAACTTTCATCCCCATTTTCACCCCCTTATGGGATGATTTCCGGGATAAAAAGTATTCTATGTCCTTTTCAGGGTCTCAAACTATCTTCTTACCAAATTTCATCTAAATCGGTTCAGTAAATCCAGAGATTACCACCTACAACGTCACAAACTCACAATCTCACAAACTCACAAACTTTACCTCTTCATAATATTAGTTTATACTAGTATAATATTATATGATCTGTGGTATATACTAAATATATCTATATTTGTATCTAATTTACCAGATGACGTCAATATTCTTTTGCTGACTATATTTCTTTCTTATTGTAAAAGACATCCTTTCTATTCTAACCTAATGTAATTTTTGCGAAAATGTGTTTGTTTGTGTATTTGTTTCTAAACTCTAGACGCATGAATTTCTTATCGAACTATGATGAATATGTAGCCTATGATATAAAGAGGAATTAGATTTTTTTCGTTTTGTTATTGTTTTTTTGGGATAAAATTAATTATTAATTATCATCATGGGTCACGATACCATTTAGAGGTGTCTGTAATTATAATATAAGTGGAGGCGGGTTGCTGGTTTTAACAAGGCTTAAGTTACTTTGTTACCTAACCTTGTAACGAGTAGCGCAAACTAATTTCTATAAGATAATTCTCGTATAAAATTTCAAATGCCAGGTCGTAGCAACATCTCATTTCAGTCTCGTTGAATATAGCGTGCGTGGCTTCAGATCGCT